TGGATTTCGGATTTTCAGATTAGGGACGCCCAACCAGTAAAATCTGAAAAAATCCCAAATTCGAAATACTTCTGGTCCGACGCATATTGGATAAGGGATACTCAACTTTAGTATAATGATGGAACTGAGGCTCAAAAAGGTTTGGAATCCAGGTGTCCTGAAACCAAGGCCCTGATTATTTCTAGAAAAGCATTCTGGAAATTTCTTGAGGAAGCGCCATATAAATCAGGCCTTGATAGGTTTCCATATAAAAAGGGTGTTCTAGGCCAGGTGCAGTGGCTCACATCTGTAATCCCAGCACTTTGGGAGGCTGAGGCAGGCGGATCACCTGAGGTCGGGAGTTGGAGACCAGCCCAACCAACATGGAGAAACCCTGCCTCTACTAAAAATACAAAATTAGCCAGGCGTGGTGGCACATGCCTGTAATCCCAGCTGCTCCAGAGGGTGAGGCAGGAGAATTGCTTGAACCCGGGAGGCTGAGGTTGCAGTGAGCCAAGACCATGCCACTGCACTCCAGCCTGGGCAACAAGAGCAAAGCTCTGTCTCAAAAAATAATAAAAGGGGTGTTCTAGGTGAGATAAAGAACCTAAGAAAAATGTATGCATGGGGTGAGGGGTAGAGGGTGTAGCAGAAGGGTAAACAATGGCCTAGAGGGGGCAGCTGGGTAATGAGAACAGGCAAGAATATTTGACAGAAACATGAGTTAAGAAGTCACTTTTGGCCGGATTCAGTGGTTCAGGATTGTAATCCCAGCCACTTTGGGAGCCTGATAACCTGAGGTCAGGAGTCCAAGACCAGCCTGGCCAACATGGTGAAACCCCAACTCTACTGAAAATACAAAAATTAGCCAGGTGTGGTGGTATGCACCTGTATTCCCAGCTACGGGAGGCTGAGGCAGGAGAATTGCTGGAACCCGGGAGGCGGAGGCTGCAGTGAGCTGAGATTGCACCACTGTACTCCAGCCTGGGCGACAAAGTGAGACTCCATCTCAAAAAAAAAAAAAAGAAGTTATTTTCTCCTTTGCTATAAATAATGTACAGAAACAATATTAGCACTTGCCAGACTCAGAGAGAGGTGGTGATTGCAGTAAAATACAGCAGCTCTTGCACATTGTTACCAAGCAGAAACTCAGGCCGGGTAGGGCCAGATAGTATTTTTTTCTTTTTTAGACAGGTCTTACTCAGCTGCTGGGGCTGGAGTGCAGTGATGATCTTAGCTCACTGCACACTCAACCACTTGGACTCAAGTGATCCTCCTGCCCCGAGTCTCCCAAATAGCTAGGACTACCGATATACGCCACTACAGCCAGTTAACTTTTAAATTTTTTTGTAGAGACAGGTCTCACTATGCCTCACAGGCTAGTCTTGAACTCCTGGCCTCAAGCAGTCTTCCTGTCTTGGCCTCCCATAGGGTTGGGATTACAGGCATGAGGCATGGTGTTTGGCTTTTTAAAATTGAGGTGTATTGAAAGGACAGTCATTTTCAAGACAGACATTTCTTGATTTTAATGTTGGCAACTAATTCAAACTTAAACACACTCTGCCAAGCAAAACCTTCTTGTGGCTTCCATCAACTTTTTGGCTGTTTGTCTGTAATCTCTGCTTTAAGAATTGATCTAAACTGAAGGGAGGAGTCTGTGAACTACTTGATCTTAAGAGGTTCAGGCTGGGCGCGGTGGCTCAAGCCTGTAATCCCAGCACTTTGGGAGGCTGAGGCGGGCAGATCACCTGAGGTTAGGAGTTCAAGACCAGCCTGGCCAACGTGGTGAAATCCCATTTCTACAAAAAATACAAAAATTAGCCTGGCGTGGTGGCAGGTGCCTGTAATCCCAGCTACTCGGGAGGCTGGGGCAGGAGAATTGCTTGAACCTAGGAGGCAGAGGTTGCAGTGAGCCAAGATGGCATGGCTGCACTCCAGCCTGAACGCCATGAGCAAAAAACTGTCTCAAAAAGGGTTCAAAAGGCTATAGAGTGGTGCTGATGAAACTAAGTCAAAATCATTTAGAGAAACTCTAGACAATGCAAACTAAACTACAGTGTCAGCCACAGATCAGTCATTGTTGGACGTGGGGCAGAAAGGAGTGATCCTCAAGCAGGAAGCTTATGACTTATGAAGGTGATGGATATATTCACTGTCTTGCAGTTGTTTTATGGGCGTGTGTATATTTTTCAATTTATCAAAGTGTATCTACTTTAAATATGTACAATTTATGTCAATTATATTTCAATAAAGCCGAAGAAAAAAACTACACCAGCTGCAGGTTGGTATAACTCTTATTTCCACTGTTAATCTACAAGTTTAAACACCTCCTCATTCTCTTCCCCAAAATTCACTCGAGGGTCACTCCAAGCCAAAGAATACAATTTAGAACTTTGCAACAGGTTTTTATTTTTGTTTTATAACTATTACAGTGTTTGAAACCTAAAGAAATACATTTTCTCTTCAAATTTGGATGTGTATATAAATATCATTTGTCTGGACTCAGCACACTCAATGCCATAGTTTCTTGGCCTACATCTGCTCTGAAATCAAGCTGTGTCTGTCTACCCAGGGGCCCTGAGAACATGGAAAATAGAGTTGATAGTTATTAGAAAAATAAAAGCAAATGAATTTGCAAAGAAAAACCAGTGAGAAGGGTTTGATTTATCTTCCAAGGGTGCGTAGCTGGTAACCCAAGTCATTCTTGAGGGATACCCAGTCTCTTGAGTGGTTGGGATGTATTTCCTTCTTTAGTAAGTCAATCAAAGACAGTTACCACAAAAGTTGGCTTAAAAAGCCAATACCCAACTCCAGAGTCTCAGGGTTCATGAAGATGTGGACTCTTTATTTTTGTTTTTGAGACAGAGTCTTGCCTTGTTGCCCAGGCTGGAGTGCAGTGACACAATCTTGGCTCACTGGAACCTCTGCCTCCCGGGTTCAAGGGATTCTCCTGCCTCAGCCTCCCATGTAGCTGGGATTACAGGTGCCCACCACCACACCCAGCTAGTTTTTTTGTGTTTTTAGTAGAGACAGGGTGTCATTGTGTTGGCCAGGCTGGTTTTGAACTCCTGACCTCAAGTGATCCACCCACCTGAGCTTCCCAAAGTGCTAGGGTTACAGGCGTGAGCCACCGCACCCAGCCAAAGATGTAGACTCTTTTTTTTTTTTTTTTTTTTTTTTTTGAGACGGAGTCTTGCACTGTTGCCTGGGCTAGGGTGCAGTGGTGTGATCTCAGCTCACTGTAACCTTCACCTCCTGGGTTCAAGCAATTCTCCTGCCTCAGCCTCCCAAGTAGCTGGGATTACAGGCGCCTGCCACTACGCCCAGCTAGTTTTTTCTATTTTTAGTAGAGACGGGGTTTCACTATGCTAATTAGCCAGGCTGGTCTCAAAATCCTGACTTCATGATCCACCCACCTCGGCCTCCAAAAGTGCTTGAGATTACAGGCGTGAGCCACTATGCCCGGCCAGATGTGCTCTTTAAGGACATGCTCTGAGTCAGAGGTTCCCAGCCAGTGTTAGGATCTCTGAGAGGTTACTTCCTTCAGTGCCCCCAGGCCATGGCATATATAATAGTTACAGAACAGGGCTGGTGTTCAGCAGCAGGATTCAGGTATGAGCAATGTGGACATCAGAAGTCAGGCTGGCCCAGAAGCAGCTAGGCAGGTCCACTGAAGATATACTACATAAACCTTTCCCCAGGGTGTTCTGGACCTAAAATTTAACACTGCTTCTTCTAACTCTTACAGTCAGCTTAGGTTCTATACATACATACATAGCCCATACCTGAAGCAAAGTGCCCTTTCAGAGAAAAAAAAATAAGTTTTAATTCACAGATTTGGTTGGTCTTGGCCTCAAATTCTTCCTTTGCCACAGTCTAAATCACAGTGTGGGGTTAGAGGATAGATAATGAGACTGAATCATTTATGAAGGCCTTAGCCAAAGAACAGCTAGTGCCCACTACATGGATCCCAGTAGGGCCAAATTTTCAACTTGTTGGCTTAACGAAAGAATGAAAAAGCTAAAACAGAAAACATAGTGGACAAGGTTGGTCTAGAATGTGCAATCCTAAATGGCTATGGAAGAAATTTATTCTGAGCAGTATCTCAGTCTTACACTCACTAAATTCTAGCGTAGTTCAATCAGGAAGATGTTTACCATGGTTTAGTGCACTGAGCCTTGCACCCTTCTCCTGGCTGCCAGGGAGGCAGAAAGGTACATACATTCCTAATGCCCAGCCAGTCTGTTCTCCCTATTGAGTCCCTGGATTGCCTGCAGAGACCTGGGGAAATTGGCTCCCTATCTTCAACTGAGAGTCTAGAATCCGAATCCTGGATGAATCTACTAAAGAATGCTCAAGATGATGGATACCAAGCTGAGTGAATCTAGAGAAGAGATGAGGCCTGAACTGGGGCTTTCAAAGAAGGGGTATGAGAGGTAAGGTTAGTAGTGCTAGGCTTTCCTATCCTTTCCTTCTAGTTTGCTAGAAACAAGTACAACTTTAGGGTGTGGGTGGAAGGCAGGTAGACATGAAAAATGGAAATACGGTTCATTCTGCTAGACAGTTTTCATTTTAAACTGGTTTGGCTTGAGAAATAGAAGTCTGTGCCTGAGAACCTTCTTTTCCTCTCCCTTATTTAAGTACAATAGCAGCTATAATCTGTACAGTTTAGCTCCAAAAAACAGGGCTCCTAGAAGATGGCTTTCATGGCAAAAAGCTGATGGAGTAGATCTATAGGCTCTAGATAAGGGGGAACACCAAGGGTCCCTGAAAAATGAGCTCAACACCTGCTCCCTGGGGGGGATCATTTCTACTCCCTGACCCAAGTAACAAGGCTGGCCAGCTGTGGGTGGAACTCGTGGTTCTGTTAGAAGGCTGCAGCTAATATCAAGGTCAGGCGGTCACTGGGGTCAGCAGGGATCCGAAGGCAGGCTTCTAAACCAGAGACCTTGTTAGTGCTAAAGATGATGACTTGGGAGTGGGATAGCTGGAGGGGCCGGCACCTTTCAAAAATGTATTTGAACACATTAGCCAAGAAAAAGGCTCCTTGTCCCTCCTAATCTGTATCCAGATACCCCAACCAGAGATCTTAAAAGGGATACATCAGCCATATGCCAACATGCCAGGATTCCAAAAGCATGCCTCAACTAATTAGGGTATTCCCTACAGCAGACTGGGGTAGGGGGGATCCATCCTGGCAATAACCAGAAAGCCTTACCTCACTTAGGCCAGGACCTGGAATCCAGATGGAGACTGCCCACAAACAGTGGCTCTCAAGCCTGGGCTAAATAAGTAGTATTTTGCTTCATTACATGGCCAAAGTAGAGGAGGAGATACAAAAGATGATATTACTGCCTCTGTGGGCTGGAAGAACTTCACCTGTTGGCTGACAGCGGATTAAAGGAAGATAATGGGAAAACCTGGTCTGAGGAAGATACAAATGAAAGCTCCTAGAGACCACTGTTCTCTGATGAGAAATCTGTCCTCACACTCTGCCCCAGTAGACTTTAGCCTTTGGAATTCTTAGGGAAAACTGGCTTTAAGCAGCAGCCAGATGACCAAAAAAATTTTCCATCTGGTACAGGACCTGGAGCTGAAGCCAAAGCTGGGCAAACAGGATGTGTATGTCTTATACTAAGAATCTGGCCCCAATATCAGGGACTTAACTGTTACTTGAAATGTACAAAGTAGATCCTACTAAAGTGCCCTTTGGATGAGAACAATGGGTAGAGGTTGGGTGGGTGAGGACTTTTCTTTGAACAGTAAGAGAATGGTTTTGTAATGGAGGTAGCAGGCCAAGTGAAAGAAAGATTCTGCCCCCAGACTTCCTTGGAGATTGGGGGTTGGTAGCCACTATTCCCAAGCTGATGAGTGGCATCTGACTCACCAAGGTGGTACAACATGGGTGTGGTTTTTCAGGGACAATTGCCAGCCCTAAACCATCCTCCTCAGAAAATGACTTTGAGGTGAGACCGGAAAAAAAAAAAAGCGCGGGGGGTGGAATTCAAGACCAATGGCCAACAATAAGTACCTGAACTTTACGTCTATAAGCAGACAGGGATGGATTTCACCTGAGCCAGAAGGAGATGTGTAGCAATAGAAGCAAGAATGGCACTTAGAGAAAGGAAAAGCAGAGCTTAGAGCAGGATGCCTCTGACTAACCACAGTGGGGAGGTGGGGGCGGGGGCGGGGCAGACTGTGCCTTCAACTCCACAGTTGGTCTACACCAACTTCCTCTCCTCCCATCCAAACAGGTGGGCTTTACTATCATATGTAATCCACCCAGAGGCACAGGCAAGCCACTGAGGCAATGCACTACTGTAATTCAAACAGAAAGAAAAGGCATCTGGATTATTTAAAAAAAAAAAAAAAAAAAAAAAAAAAAAAAGCAGGCTACTAAGTTTCAGTGATAACAGAATAGGAGAGGCAGCCATGGGTGATCAGTTATGTGGACAATGGCCATTGAGATTGAATTTGAGAAGGCAAACTGCTTCTGGGTTTCCTGATACAAGCAGGATGATCAGCAGTAAGGACAGAGTAGCAGACTTCACCAGGCCCTATGGCCATCTTTGCTCCCTTCAGGTCCTGGGACAATCAGGCCACGCTGACCTGCTTTATGAAAGTTCAAGAGCTGAGGGTTGGTCCCAGGTGGTGGTCCAGAATCCAAGCAGAGAGGAAAAGGACCAAGCTCAGGCCTCCTGAGCAAGGAAGCAACATCCGTATCTCTTTTTGGTCTTCCTCACAGTATCCTACTTACAGAAATTACAGACAGTTCTTCTTGAGACCAATTAAGATTGACCTACCTAATATATAGAATATAAAAAATACAGAACTTTTTGACATTCTCTCCTTTGGAAGTAAAATATACATGATTCAACTATGGAAGAGGAAGAAGAAAGGCCAAAGGCAGGGATCCCTGACTATCCCAAAACATGACACTCTCACTCCAACCTCCTCTGCAACTTACAGGTCACCAGAGCAAGGACTTCTCCTCAGGAGAAAGGAAGGACCACAGCCCCCTGACTCTAGCTTAGAAGAAAATACAGCCACCTCAGAGGTTCTCTCAACCCCAAGGGGGAATTTTCAAGTAAACAAATGAAGTTGGGTCGCACCATTTGGAAGGTGAGTAGGAAACATGGGATCAGTAGCTACACGTTGGAAGGAAGCCCCATCTGAAGGCCTGTGCTCCTCCCCTGCACTCCCACTGGTGTACCTGAGACACTTCAGGAGAGTGAGGAGGATCTCCCAAACTAAAGAGGTCTGGGCAAAGTCAGAGGGAGGGAGGGACCTTTGTTTCATGGTAGCCTCCCCATTGGCCTCTAGCCCCAGGCAATGCTGGCAGCTGGGTTTTCTAAAACCAGGAACTCGTGGCTCTTGGGAAGAGCAATCTTAATACAAGAAAAATGTGCAAAAGAAAAAAAAATTAAATAACTCAATCCAAGCGCACAAGATTAATATTCTGTCAGAACAAGAACACTTTGTTTCGGATTTCTCCCTTCCCCTCCCACCTCCCACCTCTGGAATATACTGTCTGCTCAAGTACCCAAGATAAGAGTTACACAGATCAGGGCAGAGGACTGGGAAGAACTGAAAAAAGATAAAAGGGAAGGAAGTCACCACTGAAGAAAAAAAGAAAAAAAAATAAAAAAAGGTGCAAATTGATTACCTTAGTCCTCCTTTGTCTACCCCTGGGCTCCTGGGTTAAAGACATGTGTGCCAAAATATAGTGTAAGGAAGAAAAACCCAACACGTCCCCTTCTTGTCACAAAACCCAAAGGTGAGCCTCAGATGGTTCTGTCTGTCCAGAGGGTGCTCCCTCCAGGGAAGGGGGCGGAGCAGGTCAAGAGCACAGTCTCCAGGGCAGCAGAGGTGTGTGGTGGCTGATGGTGGGGGGACTGGTTTCCCGCCCACCAGAGGGCTGCTCTTCCGCTGGCTGGTGGTGCTTCCCATCCCCTCCCCTCCCCGGAGGCAGATATTATAGCTGAAAGCCCTCCATGGGGGCCTCAGGCTGCTGGAAGATGAACTGCTGTTGCGTTTCATCCACTTGGGGAGCCAGGCTGCTATCATCGTCTTCTACACCAAAGTAGTGCTCAATGAGGTCAAAGGCCTTCTGGTAGATCTCCTGGTTCTCGTGGCTCTGGAGAAACTCAATTTTATCCAAGCCTACAGTAGTAAGAAGGAAGGAGAGGAAGTGTGAGTGCTTTTCTATGGGCGGATGAAACATTTACCTATTTTTCCTTCCCTAAGGTATGTTAGTGCTTACAAACACAAGTCATATGATCAGATCACTCTTGGACCTGAAAGAGGAGTTAAGATCTCTTCTCAAAACTACAGAATCCCAAAGGAAAGAGACCAAAATGTCAGTTACAGAGGTTCTAGTCCTGATTCTACTTTAAACTAGATGCATGACCTGGGCAAATCATCAGCCTCTCAGGGATGGGTGATGAGTCAATCCAGCACTCTTAGGTACAGCCTAACAGAAAAAGAACTGATCTATCGCTCCTTAGAAGGAGAAGAAACTGGTGGGAGACAACTCTGAACTCAAAAGATGAGCCAAATCCAAATCCTAGCTGTACCCTGGCTACTCAGTACATGTCCATTATACTCATGGTAATGTCTGAAACCCTGTGGATGGTGAAACTTGGTTAAGGCAAGAGCTCTTAGCTGTTTTGGAGACACAGATGTAAGTCTCATGGAAGCTATGGATGCTCCTCAACCCACACTCTGCCACCACCAACATATGTATACCACATCAGAAGCCTACAGTCTCAGGTTCTGACTTAGATTGAGGAGAGGACACATACCATAGGCTTCCTCTATGAGGCCACAATAGGGATTGACCCCTGAACCACTGCGCTTGCCCTCTTGCTCTCCAAGCCGCAGGATGTTCTCCAGTCCATTGAGGGCCACTTGCACAATCTTTGAATCCATTACAGTCAGCAAGTCACATAGCGGTTTGATGCACCCCAGTGAGACCAGGTACCTAGGGGCCAGAGAACAGGCAAGTTCTAAACTAATACGGGACAAGTGAAGTGCTTGGGCAGGTGCTCTGCACTCTCAGCAACCCACTCCTACTCATTTTTTTTTTTTTTTTTTTTTTTTGAGACGGAGTTTCGCTCTTGTTACCCAGGCTGGAGTGCAATGGCGCAATCTCGGCTCACCGCAACCTCCGCCTCCTGGGTTCAGGCAATTCTCCTGCCTCAGCCTCCTGAGTAGCTGGGATTACAGGCACGCGCCACCATGCCCAGCTAATTTTTTGTAGCTTTAGTAGAGACGGGGTTTCACGGTGTTGACCAGGATGGTCTCGATCTCTTGACCTCGTGATCCACCCGCCTCGGCCTCCCAAAGTGCTGGGATTACAGGCGTGAGCCACCGCGCCCGGCCTCATTTTTTTTTTTTAAAGAATTGTGCAGCACCTCATTCCATGCCACAGAATGAGAGTGTTCCCCAACTAAGTTTTTTTTTGAAACAGGGTCTTGCTCTGTCACCCAGGCTGGGGTGCAGTGGTGCGATCCCAAATCACTGCAGCCTCAAACTCCTGGGCTCAAGTGATCCTCCTGCCTCAGCCTCCTAAACAGCTAGGACTACAGGCATGTACCACCATGCTCAGCTAATTTTATTTTTTGTAGAGACAAGGTCTCATTATGTTATCCAGGCTGGTCTCAAATTCCTGGTCTCAAGTGATCCTCCAGCCTCGGGCTCCCAACGTGCTGGGATTACAGGTGTGAGCCACTGCTCTTACTAAGCCTTGATAACCACCTATCCTTTCTCTGTCCTCCTGTTGATATTGGTCTAGTTCATTTCACATGTAGATGCTACCACACCTTCCTTCTCCTTGCCTCTAAATTCTCCTTGGCTGCAATATTACCTCTCTGAACACATCACTCACCTGCTTAAAATTTTTCATAGGTTCCCTTTTTCCCTGAACTCCCAATTATATGGCACAACAATACCATAATACCACAAGCCCAGCCCAGCCTGGATGCTCTGCTATCTGGCTCTTAGCTCCTTTCCAGGTCTGCCTCCCATTATTCCCTTCCAAGTACAATACGTTCCAGTCACACTTATAAAGGTCTCCAGGTTTATGATTCTTGTACCTTTATTTATGCTTTTCCCTAAGAGGCCTTTTACAACTCCGTATTTATCCTTCAAAGCTTAACTCAACAGCTATCTCTTTTCTCCTAACGCTTTATACATACTGACTATGCTCCCCTTAATAGGCAACAAGTCAAGGGCAAGACACTTATCTATTCCCACCACTTTCCACTAACGTTCAGATAATGGAAACTAAAATAAAAGAGTAAATAGGCCAGGCGTGGTGGCTCACACCTGTAATGCCAGCACTTTGGGAGGCCGAGGTGGGCAGATCCCTCAAGATCAGGAGTTTGTGACCAGCCTGGTTAACATGGTAAAACTCCATTTCTACTAAAAATACAAAAAATTAGCCGGGTGTGGTGGTGGACGCCTGTAATCCCAGCTACTCGGGAAGCTGAGGCAGGAGAATCACTTGAACCCGGGAAGTGGAGGCTGCAATGAGCCGAGATTGCACCACTGCACTCCAGCTTGGGCAACAAGAGCAAAACTCCATCTTAAAAAAAAAAATAAAAAAAGAGTACACATACACAAAACAGCTTTCTATTTGCTTCTTTCAAGTCTCATACCCCAAATTAATTTCCCAAAGAAGCTGCTTTTTTATTTGAGACAAGACCTTGCTCTATCACCAAGGCTGGAGTGTAGTGGCACAATCATGGCTCATTACAGCTGTGACCTCCTGGGCTCAGGTGATCCTCCTGCTTCTGCCTACTGAGTAGCTGCGGCCACAGGCACACACCACTACACCCTGCTAATTTTTACACTTTTGTACAGATGAGGTGCCCCTATATTGCCAAGGCTAGTCTTGAATTGCTAGGTTCAAAGGATCCCCCTGCTTCAGCTTCCCAAGGTGCTAGGATAACAGACATGAGCCACCACACCGGTGAGCTTGTTTTTTTGTGTGTGTATTTGTGTGTGACAGACTCTGGCTCTGTCACTCAGGCTGGACTGCAGTGGTATAATCACAGCTCAGTGCAGCCTTGACCTTCCAGGCTCAAGTCATCCTCCCACCTCAGCTGGGACTATAGGCACACACCACCACACCCAGCTAATTTTTGTATCTTTTGTACAGATAAGAATCTTTCTATGTTGGCCAGGCTGAAGAAACTGTTTTGAGTGAGCCACAGCATGGTTAGCCTTGATTTGTAGGAATGATTGAGAACTACATAGATTTTAGATCTCTGGTAGATAGGAAAAGGTAGAGAAAGGATGGATGTCGATGTCATGTTTCTCTTCTCCAGAAGGGAAAACTGGTAAACTGCTACAGTGTCACTGAATAGATTCCCACATGGCCTACATGGAATCTATTCCAGATTCCAGTGACAATGTAGCAGTTTACCGGTAAAATTCTATTATAGCTGGATTAGAAGGCAGACCTGTTTGAGCAAGAGCAGTTTATAGTGACCTACAAACCATGAGCAAACAGGGAGAGCATCCATATCATTCAAGACAATGGGAAAAGAATACCTGATCTGCTCAGGGGTTCCACCTGATGTGGCATTGGTGATGGCCCAGGCTGCCTCTTTCCTTGTACGAAACTCTGCTTTCTGAAGAATTTCGATCAACACAGGAAAGATATTTGCATCTATAACAGCCTGAGAGAATTGAGGGCAGGCAGATGGAAGGAGAAAGTCATTTCAGGAAGATAAATAAATCTAGTCCCTAAATCAGCTAAGACTTAGACATAGTTCCCATCCTGGGAGTTTTCTTTTGTTCTTCTTATGCAGGTGACAGGCTACAGAAGAAGCCAGTTTTGGTTACACAGCTTCTTTGACAAATAGCACACATTGACTCTAATTTCTAAAGGGAAACAAATTCTTTCTTCTGAAAGGAAACATTCTACAACCTCCCATGTTCCTAGGAGTTCCCATGCCCCTTGACTTCCCTGCCTGTTTTACCTGTATTTGAGCCCTGTTGCCAGCAGTAATATTTGAAATAGTCCAGCAAGCTTCCTTCCGGATTGACTCCTTGGGACTGCTCAACAAGTGGAGAAGGCAAGGTAGGGCTGAACAGTTAAGAATGACCTAGAACACAAATGCACAGGAAATGAAATTAGATAAACTGCTTTTTAACTTTCAAAAATGTTTTTCTTTTCTTTCTTTTTTCTGTTTTTTTAGATGGAGTCTCTCTCTGATGCCTAGGCTGGAGTGCAGTGGCACCACGTTGGCTCACTGCAACTTCCACCTCCCAGGTTCAAGCGATTCTTCAGCCTCAGCCTCCCAAGTAGCTGGGATTACAGGTCCCCACCATCACACCCGGCTAATTTTTGTATTTTTAACAGAGATGGGGTGTCACCATGTTGGCCAGGCTGGTCTCGAACTCTTCACCTCAGCTGATCCACCTGCCTTGGCCTCCCAAAGTGCTGGAATTACAGGCATGAGCCACCGTGCCTGGCCTAATTTTTTTTTTTCTTGAAACAGGGTCTTACTCTGTTGCCTAGGCTGCAGTGCAATGGCACGATCATGGCTTACTGCAGCCTTGACCTCCCAGGCTTAAGCAATCCTCCTGCCTCAGTGTCCTGAGCAGCTGGGGACTACAGGCATGTGCCACTGTACTGTTAATTAAAAAAAAAAATTTTTGTAGAGATAGGGTCTTGGCATGTTTTAGGGCTGGTCTCAAACTCCAGCTGAAGTGATTCTCCTGTCTCAGCCTCCCAAAGTGCTGGGATTATAGGCATGAGCCACCCCACCTTGCCCAGGTAAATTGGACTTAATCAAAATGAAAAACTTGTGCATCAAGACATCGGAGAAAGCTGGGCACAGTGGTATGTACCTGTAGTCCCAGCTACTCAGGAGGTTGAGGCAGTAGGATCACCTCAGCACAGGAGTTCAAGGCCAGCTAGGGCAACATAGAGAGACCCTATTAAAAAAAATTTAAAAAGAAAAGAAAGTTGGTCTGGGCAAGGTGGCTTCACCCCTGTAATCCCAGCACTTTGAGAGGCCAAGACGGGAGGACTGCTTGAGAACAGCAGTTCAAGACCAGCCTGGGCAACATGGTAAAACCCTGTCTTTCCAAAGAAAAACAAATTTAAAAAATTAGCTGGGTATGGTGGTGCATGCCTATAATCCCAGCTATTTGGGAGGCTGAGGTGGAAGGATTGTTTTGAGCTCAGGAGGTAGAGGTTACAGTGAGCGGGGATGGCATCATTGCACTCTAGCCTGGGTGACAAAGAGAGACTGTCTCAATAAAAAATTAAATAAAAATTAAAAGTTGTTTTTAAAAAATGACACCAATATTAAAAGATAAAACCACAGGACAAGAGAAAATATTCGCAAAACATGTATCTGATAAGAGATTAATATCCAGAACATATAAAGAACTCCTACAACTGAACAACCAAAAAAACTCAACAGCCCGATTAAATCATGAACAAAGGACTCGAACAGACATGTGTCAAAAAAAAAAAAATATATATATATATATACATACACACACACATACATACATACATACATACACACACACACACATATGGGCAATAAGCATATGAAAAGATGCTCAACATTACTAATCATTAGGGAAATGCAAATCAAAACCACAATGAAATATCACTTCACACTCGTTATGGTGGCTGTTATAAAAAACAAAACAAAACAGAAAATAACTTAGCAAGGCTGTGGGTAAATCAGAACATGATGCATTGTTGTTGGGAATGTAAGCTGGCAAAGTAGCTGTACAAAACAGTATGGTGGCCCCTCAAAAAAATTAAGCATAAAATTACAACATGATCCAGTAACTCCACTATGGGTATATACCCAAAAGGACTGAAAGCAGGGACCTGAACAAACATTTGTACACCAATGTTCATAGCAGCATTATACACGATAGCCAAAAAAAATGGAAACAACCCAAATGTCTCTCAATGGATAAATAAAATATGGTATATACATACAGTGGAATATCAGACAGAAATTCCGATATTTACTACAACATGGACAAATCTTAGATAGCAGGCTAAATGAAATAAACCAGATGAGAAAGAATACTGTATGATTCCACTTACATGAGGTACTTAGAGCAGTCAAACTCAGAGACAGAAAACAGAATGGTGGTTACTAGGCAGTGAGGGGAAGGGAGAATGGGAAATTACTGTTTAATGTGTACAGTTTCAGTTTTAGATGATAAAAAATTCTGTAGCTGGCTAGTGGTGACGACAGAAAAGCAATTTGAATGTATTTAATGTCAATGAAAGGGTTAAAATGGTAAATTTTATGTTGTGTTTAAAAGGACATGCATATACATATACAAAATAACCCAGAAAATGAGTATGTGGGTGTGAGTGTTTGAGTGAGACTACTCACCTGTAAGAAACTTGTCCAGAATCCCAAAGAATTATGCCAGCTACTCAAAACCCAAAAGAATACCCAAATCTCTAGCATTTCAGCAGGGCAACCTTGTTTATTATGTCCTCACCGGAGGGGTTAATCTTGGATTAATCCAAGATCCATGATATCCATGAGATCCTAAAAATCTAGGAAGCAGGGGTGGAGTTCCATAGCTTTCCAGTATCTCAAAGGGACCATGACTCAAACTTAACTACCTCACAATGTCTCAGGTGGTAAGTCCAGTTATTCCATTTGGTTTTGCTTCACCCATTAGATGATGATTTGGTGCCAATTTATGGAAGAAAAGAAAAAATCAAGTTTCCCATGTCTGCTTAGAAAGTGACAGAGCTTGAACTTTTCACTCAAGCCCACACTTTCTTTCTTAGACCACAGTGCCTCCCATCAGGACCACAGCCCTTTGCAGGAAAGGCTTGTCCACAGGCAGCTCTCCACAAGCTCTTCCATAGCTGGTCTATGATCCTGTACTCTCCTCTTTCTTACCTGGGTCTGGATGTCATCCCCAGTGACGATGTTACCCACAGCTCTCAGGGCAGGAGAAGCCACTTTGTAATCATTGTGCCTACAGAAGAGGGAGATCTGATAAGCAGGGGGACAGCACACCATTTTTGGCCCTGCTGACTTTATTGCTTTAGTCTGAGCCTGGAGAAGCTTAAGGAACCTGTACCCTTTCTCTTTTTTTTTTTTTTTGAGACAGTCTCACCCTGTCGCCCAGGCTGGAGTGCAGTGGCGCGATCTCATCTCACTGCAACCTCCGCCTCCCAGGTTCAAACAATTCCTCTGCCTCAGCCTCCCGAGTAGCTGAGATTACAGGCAAACATCACCACACCCAGCTATTTCTTGTATTTTTAGTGGAGACAGGGTTTCACCATGTTGTCCAGGCTGGTCTCGAATTCCTGATCTCATGATCCACCCGCCTTGGCCTCCCAAAGTGCTGGGATTACAGGTGTGAGACACCATGCCCAGCCTGAACCTGTACCCTTTCTAAGACCACTCACATCAGCAGCTCTACCAATCTCCGGCAGACTCCAGAGTCTATGACTGCCTGGATCTTCTCATTGGGGCCATCAGACAGATAAGAAAGAGCCCAGCAAGCATCTGCCAGCAAGTCTGAGTCGCTGCTGAAGAGAAGGCGAGACAGTACAGGCAAACAAGGAGAGACCTGTGGGAAGCAGAGTGAGAAAGACTCATAGGGAGACAAGAGTACATCAGCTCTATCACAAACACTAACATTGCTACCCTACCATTCCCACACACAAGTAATTCCAGACCCTAGAGATCACTACTACATTCAACATTAGGTCTACCTTTTCACTTTACTATCCAGGCACACAAGATCATCTACTTCATTGACAATTGTCAATGGGAATGTCTACAATTGTCAATGAAGTAGATGATCTTGTGTGCCTGGATAGTAAAGTGAAAACGTAGACTTAAAAAGACCATGTGAAGAAACCTGATGTTACTCAGGGTCTAGTAAGTAGTTCTCTCACCTTTGCAAACTCTGGGGGTGGGTTCTTCCCTCGGCAGAGATTTGACAGGGCCCAGACTGCATTCCGTGTCATTGTCAGTCGTGTGGACTTGGTAAGGAGTCTGAAGGAAACAGCAAAGTCAGATCCTGAGTACTGAGGCCTTGGCATAGGGCTGTTGCCAATGAACCCCAGGGACTCCAATCAGACCTCTCAGACTCTAGCAGCCTGTTTCTTCCTACTCACAGAGCTAAATTAATAGAGTTGGTATAGGTTAGGAGGCCAGTCTCTGTACAGAGTATTCCTTGCAGGACCAGCTGTGGCTAGTTAATACAATAGATAATAGTGACAAAACAGAGGGCTAGTAAGCCTGTAAAGCTAAGGTAGGATATATCATGCCCATAACCCTGGCCACAAGTCCAGGACAACGAATGGTATTCCCTGGAAATAAAAGCTAAAAGTCAAAAGCTATAGGTCTACTGTGAGAGCTTTAGCCACATAGTATGGAATGATTTTCTGTGAAGGATCCAAGAAAGTGATAGTGGTAGGTTATGAGACTCTGGTCTCTGAAGAACAGTTCATTCATTTTTGTTTTGGTTTAGATGTAGCTTACCCTGAGGGCATGGAGGGAAGGATGAAAAGAGGGATATAATGACACTTCATGGGGTCTTTGATCTATAATTTACAACAGAGCTGTCCAATGTATGTATGTATAACCCCACAGCAAATCAATGCGTTTTGTAGAGAAGGTTGGATTTTTCCAGATTGGCTAGTCCTGCCTCAACAATGAGGAGGATATGACTAACATGAGGTTCTACAGTGTCATGAAGTGAGGAACAAGATCCTTCTTGGCAGACTGGTGGCACAATCTTTTTTTTTTTTTTTTTTTTCTTCCCCACACTGTTACCCAGGCTGAAGTTCAGTGGTGTGATCACAGCTCCCTGGGGCTCAGGTGATCCTCCCTGCCTCAGTCTCCCAAGTAGCTGGGACCACAGGTACATGCCACCACACCTGGCTAACTTTTGTATTTTTTGTTGAGCTGGGGTTTCACCATGTTGCCCAGGCTGGTTTTGAATTCCTGAGCTCAAGAGATCCACCTGCTCCAGCCTACTAAAGTGCTGGGATTACAGGCATAAGCCACCATGCCCGGCCACAACTTTCTCAATTTCCAAAGATACCCATCTTTTACTTTGGCCATCGGAATGCATTTTTATAGTTTTTGCACTTACCTATTATCTTAAGGGATCAAGTATGCCGCCCCCAAATAACCTGCCACATGGCCACCCTATACACACCCAGGTGCAGAAGATTATAATTACTCACGTTAACAAAGGATTAAGGATGGAACAGTTCAAGACGTAATCTCGGCAAACAGAGCTATCGCCAGCTATGTTTCCCAGTGCCCAGACTGCCTGAAAAGGGAATAATGAAACTGTCACCTACAAAGCCTTCTATAAGTATGTTATAGCCATAACACCAAAGTGAGGACCCACCAGGATGAGGATGATGTCAAGGTCCCAAATACGCTATACAAGCTCAAGTAACCTCCCTGTTGAAATCCTTACTGAGCAATTGCTCTACAAGGATCTATCCTCTGGGAGTTCCTCGTTCAGCAGGTAAAGACAGGCTGCCAACTGCACTGTAGCTAGAGAAGTCAAACCAACATCGCCCAGAAAAGAAGTAATCAGAAAGTTGCATTCCTGTAGCTGTTTTGGACCAACTCTATATGTAGTAATGGAGGAAAGGGCCCACTACCACTCTCCACTTCTATTCAACTAGCAAGAATTCAATGGGAGAAACAAAGTTGTATCTTTATCTCCATGGTCTGTGGGTACTGAGATGTAGGTACTGCAGTGTTTTTTTCCAATGGCACTTCCGACAACAAATGTATAGAGTTTTTTCCACATCAACAACCCATTCTCTGACACCAACCATGTGTCCAACAATTTAATTAAATTCTGAAACTAACACCTGGAGTTAGTGCAGACCCCACAGGTGAAGAGCCCGCAGGTCAGTCCCACAAGACTGCCCCGCCTTGAGACACCAGTTACAAGTCCCAGAGGCCATCTATACTTGATACACTTGGTGTACTTGATACATATTTCCTATCACTCAGGAAATTCTAAGAGTTTTAACACTGTGCGAAGAATCAGGATAAAGACCAAATACATTATTAAACCACAGGTACTATAAAGAATTATATCAAATCTAAGCATTACCTGTTCCTGAACATCCTCAAAGTCTGAATTAAGCAGCTCTATAAAAATGGGGACAGCCCCTGCTTCAATGACAATTTTGGTCTGCTGAGAGGTTCCAGAGGCAATATTCGTTAGAGCCCAGGCAGCTTCAAACTGAAAGTGAGATTAAGCAGTGATTGAAAGGTCATTTCAGACTGAGCAGCCATGCCTATCAGCTGGCTCAGAACAGTCAGCCTCCTGCCCGTGAATTTAAAAAACAAAAACAACCCCACAAAACACAAGCAAGCCTCTTTCTTGTCCATGAATTTAACAAACACACACACACACACACGCGCGCGCGCGCGCGCGCACACAATAAGCCTTTCCCCTCCCCTCTTTAGATAGTGGGAAGGTGCAGTGACGTGATATAAATGGGAGTAAGACATTGGGCCTCCATGGTCCCAGGTTGAGTCTTGCACTACCACAGCACCCATGCATCCTTTGCCCAGTCACTTTTTTATTTCTTCAGTTTCACTTTCTTCATTTCTAAAATGAGGATTAGAATGAAATGGGTCTTTCAGAGTCCCTTTCAGCTGAGTTTCTGGCAAGTTCCAACGGATTGACCCATCACCCATCTCTGAAACAAGAGACCCAGTGAAGCTAAACAATTTGCCTCGGGTCACACAGTTAGTGGACTATACCCCCTGATTTATAACTGAATGATCTGTCTATCATAGTCTGGTGTCTTTCCCTTGAAATTGTTGTAAGGAAGAGATTTTGGCTGTGAGGGAACTGATGGTTTCTCCTGAATGTTTCCTAATATTACTTGTGTACTTCCTGAGAGATATGTCAATAGAAATATCCCATTGCAATTTATTGCAAGGAGGGCTTTCATCTAATAACCCCTTCCCGGTAGTGGGAGGTTGGGGGGTGGGGTAGGGATAATTAATGGGTACAAAAAAATTAATAATAAGATCTATTTGATAACACAATAGGGTGACTATAGTCAATAATAATTGTATAATTTAAAATAAAGTGTATCACTGGATTGTTTGTAACTTAAAGGATAAATGCTTGAGGAAATGGATACCCCATTCTCCATGATTTGCTTATTTCAAATTGAATGCCTATGTCAAAACATCTCACGCTCCCCATAAATATATATACCTACTATGTATGCCCCCAAGATTAAAAAACAAAACAAGACAAAACAAACCCCTTCCCTTCAGGCCTCACCTGTAATGTACAATTCTCATTCCTCTTCAGAAACTCCACAAACCGATCCACCACTCTTGGAGTGTTGATAACTTCATCTATTGGAGGACTAGGCTCTGGATAAGGGAGAAGGGCAAATGAAACGGCAGGAGAAGTTTTTGCTGTTCCCTTCATAGAGGTCAGCTTGCAATCCTTCTTAGATACTTCTGACGACCCTTACAAACATTCCCAAACTCCTTTCTGATAAGGTGGTTTTTAACAATTTCTGCTCATCTTTGAACTGTATAGTACAGTTGGAATGTTAAAAAGTAAATCCAATCCTAATTTAAGTATGCTCATCTTTGGCTTACTAAATGTAAGCAAAGAAAGGTGTGGGAGAGGGGATTGCCTAAGGGATGAACAACCCTGGTCCACACATTTCTCTTTTGAGAAAGAGGAGTATTCTCTTCTTGGGAAGACTGTTTGATACACTGAAACAAGAGGTATTTTTCCTATCATACGTTAGATTTTTATTGAGTATCTATTGTGTGCCACACAGTCCTAGGTACTGAGGACACAGGAGGGAACAAAACTGAAAGTCTCTGCCCTCAGAGAGCTTATATCTTAGTGCGAAGCGTCATTTTATTATTTGAGAAGATAAATAGGAGGGGAGGGAAGGAGAATATGTAGGGCAAGGTAAAGAGATAAAAATAGTGAAGGTAGAATTTGATCATAGGAGTAAGGTAGTTGCTACATAGATATCTGGGAATAGAGGACATCAGGCAGAGGGAATATCCAGTGTGAAGGTAGGAATGTGCCTGTCTTGTACAAGGAACACCAAGGTCAGTAGGGCTAGAGTAGAATGAGAGAGGGCACGTGTAATTGATGGCATCAGTGAAGAGAAACAAGAGGCTAAATCACATAGGGCCTGCGAAAGGCCAGGCTTCGTACCTTTGGAGAGCAGTTTCCGGAATTTCTGTGTGGTTGCTAGCTGCAGGTCAGAATCATCAGAAAAGAGCATCTCTACCATCTCTCTTGTGATCACACTCTCCTAGAACATGTAAAACAAGTTTAGGACTTTGCAACCCAACATTAGAGCCAGATGTGAGCATGTAATACCACCTGGTATCCTGTTTTCTAAAAATTGAGGATAAGAGGAAGGCATAATAGACAGGCTGAGAAGAAGGGGTCTATTTAATCTGTGGGTGCTTCAAGTTGGGACATTTGAAAAGTGATTTCTAATTTCTGAGGCAACTGATGGCTTCCCTTAAATGTTTCCTCGATATTTCTATCAGACTTGAATCCTTGCTGACTCCTTAAGCTGAGAAAAGAGTCCACAGAGGAAAGAACTTGTCATGGTTACTGGCAAAGCTAGTAAATGATGTGAACAGCCCAATTTCTGTTCTTAGAAGCAGGTACTGTCCAGGCCAGCCTGACGCACATGCAGGGGTCTTACCCCAGTGGTAGAGCTCACATAGGAGTCCATGAGAAGACTATCGAACATGGCAGCTTCTTCATTAATCAGCTCTACATTTCTCCGTTTAAAAAGCTGAAAAGTAAAGAGACAGTGGTTAAGAGTATTCTCTGAACCAAAGAAAACAAAGAACAATCCCAGTAAAAAGACAAAAATATGGGAAAAAAAACATAGTATATGTAAGGTTCAGTTTATGCAGTTTCAGGTATCCACTGGGAGTCCTGGAATGCATTCCACACAGAGGAGACTACTGAATACTAACATGGAAAGATATTCAAGGACTTGGAGGCAGAGGCAGCAGTGGGTCAAGATCATGATACTGTACCCCAGCCTGGACAACAGGGAAAGATTCTGCCTCCAAAAAAAAAAAAAAGGCAGGAAGGAAGGGAGGGCGAGTGGGCAAAACCAGGTTAGGTTGGCCAGGCATGGTGGTGCAGTCCTATAATCCCAGCACTTTGGGAGGCCAGGGCAGGTGGATCACATGGGCTCAGGAGTTTAAGACCAGCCTGGGCAACATGGCAAAACTGTGTCTGTACAAAAAAATAACCCCACAAAAATCAGCCAGGTGTGTTGGTACATGCCCGTACTCTCTGCTACTCAGGAGGCTGAGGTGGAAAAATCACTTGAGCCCAGGAGGTAAGGCTGCATCGAGCTGAGATCATGTCACCCACTGTACTCCAGCCTGGGCGACAGAGTGAGACCTTGACTTAAAAAAATGATAATAATCAGGTGACTGAATCTGGTGGAGGGAATGCAGATGGTGAGGTATTAATATAGTCTCAGTCACAGGAATACTTATAAAAAAGAGACTCAAGAAACAAAAGTCAGGTGGCTCAGAATGGCTGATGAGCCTCCTAAAGTGCCAGGTGGGAGCTGGGCCTTGAAAGGCCAGCCTAACAATGACTGCAGCATGAAGGAAAGAAAAGGTAACAAGGAGCTAGAACCAGAATGCTATAGTAAATAATGTCTAAGTTGGTCTAACTTGTGAAAAGGGGATAAGGTCAGTTTTCCCTCTCTCAAAGTTCCAAACACTTATTTACAACAAAGGAAACTGGGTAAGTGGCAAACTCAGTAAGTAAGCTACTTTTCTACAGAGAAAGTCAGGGTGCAAGGTGGAGGCCAACCATAGGGGCTGGACTGTTTCCCAGAATAGTATGTTTGAGAATACTCCTGTTAACCCACTTGTTGCTCACGCTTCTGCTTCCGGAGCTGAATGCCCTCTTCCTCTCTTCTTCGTCTCATTTCTTCAGGGTTTAGAGCATTGTTCTTATAGCTCTTCATTCGATAATTGTCTTTCCCTGGGCTCGCCATTGTCTCTACAAGAAAAGATACACAATGCCCAAAACTTTTAAAAGGACAGCATTTCCTTTTCACTAGATTTCTGTCCCTACCCACCCTTCAACCTCTCCTACTCCAGGGGGACTACAGCTCTCTGGGAGCTCTAAATAAGCACCTGACATCTCTAGCCACTCCCTAACCCCCAGTCTCTAACTACAATAAGCTTGATAAATAGGTGGTATTATAGCAATTGGCATAAGCTCAGTAGTTAAAAGTGTGGGCTCTAGAGCAAGATTGTCTGGGTTCAAATCCTGTCCCTTCTAACTTGTTAGCTGTGCAACCTTGGACAACCTCCTTTAAATTACACTGCTTCAGAATTTAATCTTTTTTTTTTTTTTTTTTTTTTTTTGAGAGAGTCTTGCTCTGTGGCCCAGGCTGGAGTGAAGTAGTGTGATCTTGGCTCACTGCAACCTCCATCTCCTGGGTTCAACCAATTCCTCTGCTGCAGCCTCCTGAGTAGCTGGAATTACAGGCATGTACCACCATGCCTGACTAATTTTTCGTATTTTAGTAGAGATGGGGTTTCACCATGGCCAGGACGGTCTCAATCTCCTGACCTCGTGATCCTCCCGCCTTAGCCTCCCAAAGTGCTGTGATTACAGGTGTGCTTGCTGTGATTACATGTGATTACCATTCCCAGCCTACTGTTCTTTTTTTTTTTTTTTGAGACAGAGTCTTGCTCTGTTGCCCAGGCTGGCATGCGGTGGCACAATCTAGGCTCACTGCAACCTCCACCTCCGGGGTTCAAGCAATTCTCTTGTTTCAGCCTCCCCAGTAGCTGGAATTACAGGCATACGCCACCACGCCTGGCTAATTTTTTGTATTTTTAGTAAAGACAGGGGTCACACCATGCTGGCTCAGGCTGGTCTCAAACTCCTGACCTCAGGTGATCCGCCCATCTTGGCCTCCCAAAGTGCTGGGATTATAGGTGTGAGCAACCATGCCCAGCTGAAAACTGATGTTATAAGCCATGAATTGCTCAGTTATAGGTAAATAAATGTTAACTTGACCAACTAATGCCAAAGTTGTTTTCAAACGTACTGCCACTTACATATATCGAATCATCACTTTTGACAATCTACTGGGTGTCAAAGTATTTCAGAGATGTTTATTTGTATATCCCAGATTACTAATGAGGTTAGATTTCATGTTATTAGACATATGTTTCCCCTTATGTGAAAAATGTTTGTTTCTATACTTTTAAATGTTTTTCTTTGCCTTTTTTTTTTTTTTTTTTTTTTTTTGGAGACAAGAGTTTTGCTTTTGTCACTCAGGCTGGAGTGCAGTGGCACAATCTCGGCTCACTGCTACCTCTGCCTCTAGGGTTGAAACGATTCTCCTGCCTCAGCCTCCCAAGTAGCTGGGACCATAGGCGCCCGCCACCATGCCCGGCTAATTTTTGCATTTTTAGTAGAGACAGTGTTTCACCGTATTGGCCAGGCTGGTTTCGAACTCCTGACCTCAAGTGATCTGCTCGCCTCAGCCTCCCAAAGTGCTGGGATTACAGGCACGAGCCACCATGCCCGGCCTTCTATATTGCCCTTCTAAGGCTTATAAATTTCCTTCAAATTAATATTTGTATTGTAATTCAGTTCTGAATATCTAATTTCCCTTGATTTATTCAGTTTACATAAGTGTCCCATGTGTGCTTGAGAAGAATCTGTATACTTATTGTGCATGGCTTTCTGTATATCATGTCCATTAAATTAAGTTGCCGTCATGTTGTTCTTTATTTACTCATTATTTTTTGAGATAGCATCTCACTGCTCTATTGCCCAGGCTGGGGTGCAGTGCACAATCATAGCCTCAACTTCCAGGGCTAAAACAATTCTCATGGCTTAGCCTCCTGAGTAGCTGGGACTACAGGCTCATACTACCAGGCATGGCTAATTTTTAAGATTTTTTTGTAGAGATGGGGTCTTACTATGTTGTCTAGGCTGGTCTTGAACTCCTGTTCTCAAGCGATCCCCCTGCCTCAGCCTCCCAAATTACTGGGATTATAGGCATGAGCCACCACACTCATCATGTTGTTCAACTCTATTGCTTCACTAATGTTTTCCTTATTGATAGTGAATGTAGCCATTTTACCCCGTATTTAATTTTGCTTTATGAATTTTAATACTACTTCATTAGAAGCATACAAACTGTTGTATCTTGACTGTGAATAGAACAGTTTGTTATAAAGTGAGTCAAATTATTCCTTAACAATGCTCTTTGTTGCCCTTTTAATTTTGTTGGATATTAACATAGTTATCACTTCCACTTCCAGCCATGATGGAATAACCAGGGACAGGATTTCCCTGCTGCTGCAAACGGTTTCAGTTATTGGACAATAGCAATGCAGAACTGTGATTCTCCAAGACAGGGAAACAAATGAAGTGAGCTCGATTTAGCTCCTTGGCCCTCTGCCCACAGACTCATTCTATAGCAGAAGAAGGGTCCCAAACACCACCGAAATCTCACTAGTGCTGGAAAGACTAAAGAGTTCAGTGAGACTTAGGTGGCTGAATACAGTGAGACAGTATTCCAGCAAGGAGAGAAATATGCAGGAAAAAAAACCTGGAAAATCTGTTTGGGATTCCCTAAATCTTTGCTGAAGACTAAGGATGCATATATGCTGGGCGAAGCTCCTTGAGTCATGCAAAGGGCAACTGAGAAGCTGTATATAAGCTCAACAGTTTCCAGAGCTCAAACAGGGCTGAGAGGCTTTAGACAAATCAGAATAGAGATTTCTCCTTGATTACTCAGGGCATAGCAGAGACCCCAAAAGGGCTATGGCTTAGTAGTGGGATTAAACTATTCCCAAAAAAGGCTACTAATGAAGCTTACAAACAAGCCTTACACTGCTAAAACAGAACAGCTATAAAGCCCTACACTCCTAAAACAAGAACAACAACAAAATCCAGACACTAAAAACATAAAACTCACAATGTCTGGAATCCAATTAAAACTTATGGGCTAGAGGCCGGCATGGGCTAATGCCTAAAAATTCCAGCACTTTGGAAGGCTGAGGTGGGAAGATAGCTTGAAGAACCTAGGAGTTCAAGGTTGCAGTGAGCTATGATTGCTCCACTGTACTCCAGCCTGGGCAACAGAGTGAGACCCTGTCTCTAAAAAAACAGAAACATCCAGGTGTGGCGGCTCACGCCTGTCATCCTAGCATTTTGGGAGGCAGAGACGGACATATCACAAGATCAAGAGATCAAGATCATCGTGGCCAACATGGTAAAACCCTGTCTCTACTAAAAATACAAAAATGAGCTGGGCATGGTGGTGCGCACCTGTAGTCCCAGCTACTTGGGAGGCTGAGGCAGAAGAATCGCTTGAACCTGGGAGGCAGAGGTTGTAGTGAGCCAAGATCGCACCACTGCACTCCAGCCTGGAGACAGAGTGAGACTCTGTCTCAAAAACAATGAAAAGTACTATACATGCCAAGAAGCAGAGAAACTGTGACCCACAGGAGAAAAGTCAGTCGAAAGTCAGATCCAGAAATGACACTTTAGTAGCTAGTAGGATGATATCAAGTGCTCTAATAGTAACTGGATTCACAGGAAAAAAAAATTGAGAGGGGAACAGAAAAACATTTACAAACAGAGACTAAAAATTGGCAGGGCATGGTGGCTCACACCTATAATCCCAGCACTTTGGGAGGCTGAGGCAGACAGATCACTTGAGGCCAGGAGTTCCAGACCAGCCTGTCCAACATGGTGAAACCCTATCTCTACTAAAAATATAAAAATTAGCCAGGTGTGGTGGTGGGTGCCTGTAATCTCAGCTACTCAGGAGGCTGAGGCAGGAGAATAACTTCAACCTGGGAGGCAGGGGTTGCAGTGAGCCAAGATCATGCCACTGCACTCTAGCTGGGCAATAGAGTGAGACCCTGTCTCAAAAAAAAATAAAAATAAAAATTAAAAAAAGAGTAAAAATTTTCCATATCTAAACCCATGAACCCTAAAAGCTATGATAATCCTTAAGCAAGATAAAAACAAAGAAAATCACAAGACCCATCAGAACCAAAATCTTGAAAACCAGTGATAGATAAAATCTTTAAAGCAGCCAGATAAAGACCTATTACATATAGAAGATCAAAGGCATGAATGGCCTACCTTCTTGTCAGAAACCATGCAAGTCAGAAAACAATAAAATAATATCTTTAATGTTCTGAAAAAAAAAAAAAAGAAAAAACCTGGTAAACTAGGATTTTATTTCCAACAGTTACTTTTTGAAATAAAAGCAATTCAGCAGATCATTGATTAAATTAAAAATAATAATAATAAAGACTTTTTCAGTTAAACAAAGGCTGAGAGAACTTTTCTCTAGCAGACCTGCACTAAAGAAATGCGAAAATTCTTCAAGTAGAAGGAAAATCATACCAGATGGAAACTCGGATCTCCACAAAATGAAAAACACTAGATATGGCAGATAATAATAACTTTTTTTTTTGCCATTTAAAAATTGTCTTTAAAAAATAACAAGGTGAAAAGCCGGGCGCGGTGGCTCAAGCCTGTAATCCCAGCACTTTGGGAGGCTGAGGCGGGTGGATCACGAGGTCAAGAGATCGAGACCATCCTGGTCAACATGATGAAACCCCGTCTCTACTAAAAATACAAAAAATTAGCTGGGCATGGTGGCGCGTGTCTGTAATCCCAGCGACTCAGGAGGCTGAGGCAGGAGAATTGCCTGAACCCAGGAGGCGGAGGTTGCGGTGAGCGGAGATCGCGCCATTGCACTCCAGCCTGGGTAACAAGAGCGAAACTCCGTCTCAAAAAAAAAAAACAAACAAACAAACAAACAAACAAACAAAAAATAATAACAAGGTGCGCGCGCGTGTGCACGCGCGCACACACACACACACACACACAAAACAAAACAAACAAAACAAACAAAAAAAAACAAAAAAACAAAAAACAAAACAAAACAAAACAAAAAAAACAGGGAAGCATGGCCCATTCAAGGAATAAAGTAAAAACCATTCCTA